TGGGGGGACAGCGGGGCCTCGGCGGAGCCCCCCCCCGCGGCTCGGCGGGGAAAGGGGCGAAGGGGAAAAGGCTCTAAAAAGAGCCCCTTCCCCTCCCGGAGCGCGCGCCCGCGGCCCTGCTGCCAGCTCCTCGCTCGCGGCCTTGCCTCCTTCCCGGCCTCCCCTGGGAGGGGCCGGGCCGGGCCGGGCCGGGGGAGACCAACCTGTGTACAGTGGGGGACAGTGGCTGGCCGGGTAGATTTGCACCTTAGAGACTAACTCCTAGATCTATAGATAAATAGGTAGCTGTAGCTCTCTCAATACATAAAGCATACAGACATCTAGAGAGTGAGAGATTTCCAGATATACACACACACACTGTTTATATATATTATATTATAATCTATATATATATATATAGAGAGAGAGAGAGATTGATATGTGTGTATATAAATATAGATATACCTATATAAATATAGATATATGTATGTGTGTGCATGTATGTATATATATATTCACACACACATAGAAACATCTGTGTGTATAAAGATATATAGATATCTATCTGTCTAGCTATAGATCTTTGGGGGGGGCACAAAGAGATACTTCACAAGCTTTGGTGAGTTTCAGCTCATCATCATCAGATGATGTGATGAAACCTCTGATGAAGTGCCAAAGGCTCGTGCTGTGTACCTCTCAACATTAATTTAGTTTATAAGGTGCCAGATCTACTCTGCCTTCTGCTTGACTTCAGTCTAATGTGGCTTAACCACATCTCTGCTAAAAGAGGGCAGTGCCCGGGGTTGGGTCCGAACGAGTGAAATTCTTTCACCAACATTTAAGGCTTATGTCTGCGTGTTTTCCCATAGAGAGATGACAATGCATAAACTGAGCCTGAAGGCTATGGGCCTAGCAGTGTTAGTGTGGAGCACTTACAATGGTTATTTCTAATTTCTTCAGTTTAGAAGTGTGGCTGAGAACTTGATATTAAATCCAGAAAGAGGTAAAAGTTGTTCAGCTTTTTCACTGAGTATCCAGTTAGTATTTTGATTTGTAAAAGAAACAAAGAGAAGAATTTTTCAGGATATGGGAAGCTGTTAAACCTGGTACCCCACATTGTCTGAGCTTGAAGAATGGGGAAAAATGGTTAAAATGGCTAGTCTTTCCTAACAGCGCCCTACGCTTCATTTTCTAAGTATTATTTGAACTGTCCCAGAAAATGAGCCTTTTGCTACTTGCTTAACTTTATTAATTACTCTTCATATAATTATTATTGTAATTATCCTGTATTATTGCTAGTGTCTTTAGGAAGCAATCATTAAAACTACAGTCTTGGAAATGTTAAGTACATGCTTAACTTTATGCAGCTGAGTAGCTACACTGAATTTAATAGAATAATGTGTGTATGGAAACTGAAGCATGTGCATAACTCGCTCGTTTGAGGTCTGAAGTTTTACCATCTACTGCATTATTTTTTCCAAGTTGTTCATATTTTATTTTTGTTGATCCATCTTTTAATCTGTTTTCTAATGCCTTTTTAAGTTGTGTGGGGCACTCTGGAAACGTAATGTAGTGCTCATTATTTTATCAGATGTTCAATTTCTTAATGCAGCTGGTCAGTATTTAGTGTTCTTTTCATGAACTTGATGTACATTCGCAAAGCTGCTGGTCCTGTGATGAATAATGTAGAAGAAATTGTAGCCACTTTATTCCTTGTTGATTGTACACTGATAGATCTGTACAGCATACTGCTGCAACACTGTACAAATCAATGATCTCTAGCATGTATATTTTTAACTTGGAACTGAAGTCTGTTCTGCTTTAGTTTGTAAAAACAGTCAAATTGCAATTGTGGAAATAATTCATAGATGAATTTCCACTATCCTATTTCATAAGTTCATTGGTACATGCATGTAACTAATCTTTGTGTTGTATTTTTCTGTGTACCTTTCTTGAATATATTAGGTCTCAGGAAAAATAAGTACACATTATTTATTACAGTGGCTTTGGCTTGACGAACAACTGGCTGGAAATCTTAGTATGATGGTGCCTGCTAATATTCTGTCATTTTTTTTTTCTTCCTCTAGTTTTCTTTTAACATGTTTGATCATCCAATACCCCGAGTTTTCCAGAACCGTTTCTCAACTCAATATCGTTGCTTCTCAGTGTCCATGCTTGCAGGACCTAATGACAGGTCAGATGTGGAGAAAGGCGGGAAGAGTATGTGCATGTTTTATTTTGAATACTACATTGTTGAAGGTTACATGTGAATGATAATGTTCATTAGTATTGTTTATAGAAAGTGGTTGGAGAAACAGTGTTAGGCCCCGAGCATAAAAGCACATGTGTATGTGTTGGTTTTGTGGCTTGAGTAACAAGGGCACTGTATAACTCAAAATCATGTTTTCCAACACTAGTATAAGTTAACTGAAGCTGGGGTTGTTACTAATTTATGTAGAGATAAATTGGGAAAGATCTACTATTTATTTTTTTCACAAAAGTTTTTCCTTATCACTAATAATGTGTCATGTAAACTTCATAAACTTTAAAAATATTTTCCTCTCATTATTACTTTCTTGATAGCTCACTCAGTTTGATCAAAGAAAATAGATATACCCGCTTTACTTTCAGGCTGTCATGTCAGTCCTGTCTCATGATGTTTGAGTTGTCCCCATTTCAAAAGAATGAATGAATCCAACCAAAAAAAAATTACTTGTGGAAAGCATATTTATTAATATTAAGTCCCATAAAACTTTTATATTCTCCTTTCACCTGTGTCTCCAAAATAAAATATACATTTTGGGCTAGTGAATATTGTTTGTCTAGATTAATTTCTTTTGTAATTTGAAAAATTACTTTTCTGAAGTCAGTACCACTGTAATGTGCTGCCTGACAAAAAGGAAAGATAAGGCTGTATACTATATTGTCTTCCATAGCTGTGCTGTTCCTAATCTTACTTTACCTTTTTTGTTTAATTTCTGCAGTAATTATGCCACCGTCTGCTTTGGATCAATTGAGTAAGTAATTTTTATTCTGCGGTTAAAAACATCAGACAATAAGGCTGTGATAAATGCTTAGTCAAGTAACAGACTTGCATATTCTTTAAGGTCTGGTTTAAATCAAGACGATGGCGATCCCATATTGAAACAAAACATTGTCAGACAATACATCCAGCAAAAGATAATAAATACAAAGTCATTTGCTTTTGTCTCCATGTTGCTCAAATAATAGGCAGACAGTGTAAAATTTCCAACAGCTGCTTGACCATAATGTGAATGTTTATATTTATGAAGTAATTTATCCTCCTTTACATTTATGCTTACAGATAACTCCGTTTATTTGCTAGCTCGGTTTTACTGGGCAATGAGAATTCACAAAGTTAATTTGAAAGGCAGAAAAAGGATGGTCATTCAACAAAATGAGGCGTTTGTTCCCTTTATTTAGTTCTCCCAGAAGACAGGTGTTTTGACCATTTTTGTTCTTTTTTCTAGCTAAGGGCTCTTATCTTTTCCTTAGTACAGTACACCACTTGTCTAGAGAAACTCTAATGCACTATCCAACTGAAGATTATAAGTCATATTCTGTAGCTGATTGAAGCTTGAACAGAACAATGTTTCAGTGCTAGTACAGTAGTACTGTTTTACCATGTCATCCTGCACTCCAGAGGCGCATTGGAGAGGCACTTACAAGGGCTAAATGCAGAATCGTAGTTTAATATATATATATCTGCTTTATATCTCTGGACTTGTTTGTGGAGCTGGGGTATTGGGCTAAACCATCCAATACTAGGATATTAGCTTGCTATAATGTATAGCCTTAGTGCATCCTGTAACTGTGTTTGTTTGATAACAAACAGTATTTTTTCTCATTCACCAGGTCGACTTAACATTACCTACCCTATGTTGTTTAAGCTAACCAATAAAAATTCAGATCGAATGACACACTGTGGAGTGCTGGAGTTTGTAGCTGATGAGGGCATTTGTTATCTTCCACACTGGGTAAGTTGCCATTCATTGAACTGGCATAAACTAAAGAATAGGATTTGTGTGGTGTGTTGCTTTAATATTAAAGTAAAATATTTGCTGAAATTGTATCCTTGTTGCACAATAACATTTTCAAGCATCTCGGTTGCAGCTGAAGCTTTGCTTTAAGTTAATCAAAGTAGATCGTGGCGTGTATACTGTGTTGTTACTGAGGTACAGGGCTATGATACAGATACAGGGCTATGATAAAGCCCAATGCAACCCTATGGATTTCAGGGCATAAAGCCCTATTATATTTGCATATTCCCTGGGGAAATTCCATATAAAATGATCTGGTTTTGTTGCCTAGATCATTGTATATAGTATATTATTCTTGGCATCGTTGTTTGCAGATGATGCAGAACTTGTTGCTGGAGGAAGGCGGCCTGGTGCAGGTAGAAAGTGTCAATCTTCAAGTAGCTACTTACTCCAAATTTCA